CTAAAAAAATTGTAGAAAAAGTGTGGTTTGAACAATGGGTAGAAAATATATTGTAGAACATATTGTAAGAAGACAAAAAATACACTTATTTAGATCATCCCAAACAACCTCTTAATTTTCAACTTGCTTTGAAAGAAGGTAAAGTTACATTTTTACAGTAGCCAGGCTGACACCATTGGGCACAACAGCCGATGCTACATGCCTTAGATTCGTTCATGACTTGACAACAGTGGAGTCCTGGCATCCGAATGCACTGTATAAGGCCAGTGGCATGCATGTGATCGAACAGGAAATGCTCTATTAATTTTTTGCACTCGCTCTATTAATTTTTTGAAATATTTTTCACCAATTTTTTACTTTTTTTTTGAAATAGCAATAAATTATGCAATTCATAAAAGTCGAGTGACAACTCCTATCAAGTTGATGCATAGTTCTTCAGGTCATAAAAGTTGACATGACAACTCTGATGCATAGTTGTTTACAATAATTTCATACATACACCTACCATGTATATATATATGGTATAAATATCGCATCATACCACAACAAAAATTTTACAGCTATTTCGAGCGATATCATCATGAGATATACGGTGGTTGATCTATATTCAGCAATGGGTCGCTATTGGGTTGCAGATGGAGATGAATTTCAATACCCATTAAATCCAATTTGCGTTACTCGCGTGCCACCAGTACCGTCAATACCATGAGAGCTGAGTGGGAATTTCGCATAACTCGAGCAAACGTTCTCGTTGAGCTATGTCGTGAAGTTAATATTAAATTTCCTCGCCGGTTAGCCATGCGTATGCCAACTGACACTCCACAGTTGTTGCAAAGGGCATTGCATCGTATCCGCGACGAAGTTAATCGCATGACCCAACGTTTGCAAAGGTCCTCACTAATGAAGACCGCAAATGAGCGTGCCGAAGATGGGTTAATGGATGATGCACACCAGTACTTCGCCTGGAGCATGGATGTTATGTATGAATCTGATGTTGAGATGTCAGATGATGATGATAATGAATGAAATTGTTTGGATGAATGACCAAACCATTTATCTTGTAATGGATTTGTAATGCTTATTCTTTATGTTATCAATGAAAGGAGATATTTCAATTGTTTTTGAATAGTTCTTGTAATTCTACAAAAAGTTCAATGAATGGATTTGTGTACTTATAGATATAGTTATTTCATAAACTTTAGGTTCATATAACAAATAGTTGAAATACATCCGTACACTAGATGAACAACAACATTATCTTACACTCCAGTAACGAAGATATGACACAACATACAACCTAGAAGTCGGACTAAAATATTCAAAATGCCCCAAACAGGGAAATTGGCCAATCAATCCCAACAGCCGCACCATTATCAATCAATCTTCCATCATAAACCCTAACCCTAATTTTCTCTATTCAGCCTAACAAAACTTCTTCAATCCAACACACTTAACCCTACTAGTTCAATAAAATATAAACTACCCTTAACAACAACTACTCAAAACAAAAACCCTATTAAATCGGACTTCAAATTACATGTGCTATATATAGCAATGTTTTCTCAAGGCTGATTTCCTCTTCCTCTTGTAATTCCTGGTATGATCTGAGAATTCAAAAAAAGTTTGAATTTGGAATTGGAAATGAGAGATCGGATTGGATTGGATTGGATTGGTCTTACAAAGATTGGATTGGATTGGTCTTACAAAGGATTTGAAAGTCACTGCTCAACATAAAAATCAGAATAAAAGAGCTCAAGATAAATAAGAGGTGCAACCATAAAGAAAAGAACAAGCCTTTATCATTATACACAAAATTGTTAATAGACAATTCTACTTCATCAAGTTATGCTGTACAACCAATAAATTCCTCCGCTTGTTCTTTAAAGGGTTGAGAATCAACAAACAGAGCATCTAACAAAAAATGAAACAGGCCTCTAGGATCATAGACTCATGATCATGAAAATCCTTGGACTTCAAAACATTGAGAAGATCATGCTGAAGGCACACTGCAGCCTGCTTGAATACCTCAACAATTGAATTTGTCATGGTGTTTCCTTGTAAAATTTTGGGGGGAGGGCTGAGACCTGATGGCCCCGAAAGAGAAGAACCTAAAGGCTGACCAAGAGGAGTAAGCAAAGATTATTTGTTAGATTGAGCAGGTGACAGACTCGGCATTGCAATGTTTGCTGCTTCAACATCAAATGTGTCGACATCTTGAGGGAAAAAAATGGGATGACATGCAGGGACAACACCTGAGAAGAAATGCAAAATAAATTTGAAACTTGGTTGCCAAACGTGAAGAAAAAGCTAACTGAAGTGTATATTCATACTTACAACAAAAGAAAGGCTTAGGAGCAGGAAATATCAGGCATTGAGATGGTGAAAACACAAGCCGTCCACACCAACCCTAAAATTTGACATATGGTCGTTCCCTTCAAACAATTATCTGTCAGGGCCACTGTGGTCGTAGGCAAGGCAGAATCATTGTGGTAGTAAGAAGAACCTACACAAGGTGAATTCATATAAGAACCACATTAACAAAATTATTTCTCCACAACCATTCATTCATTCAATTATTCATCCAAAATTATTTCTCACCTGTAACCTGTGCATATACAAAATTATTTCATTCAATTATTCATTCGAAATTATTTCATTCAATTATTTGTCACATGTAACCTGTGCATATACAAAATTATTCATCCATCCATTCATTCATTCAATTCTCAACCATTCAATAAAAATATTTCTCCACAACCTGTAGCATTCAATTTTCAATCATATACACAACTTAACTATTAACCGTACATATCAAAGAAAATAAGAATCCATAAATATAGTATAATCTAACAAATACATATACTATCCGAACCAACAATTACAATTCAAACTAAAAAAAAAAACTTAATAACAAAACATATCAGCTGTACATGTTTTGCATAAAAAAAAAATATAATGTAAATTGCGCCCATGCAAACATCATCAATCTGGCCCAAAAACATCACTGTATCCATGCCAACATTATCAATCTGCAACAAAAACCAGTGAGGTAAGTAATAACAAATGCAGAGCTTGATTTTTTTTTAAACAGAATATGGTTAAATTTATTTAACAAGTTGAGTTAGCTTATGGAGAAGGGAAAAATTAGACAACTAACTCAGATGATTTTAGATGAATAACACAACGAATATACCAATTGATATGCCAAGACTATATTAATAAAAATCAGTCAATGATTCCTTTCAGCCTAACATATTGTTATTTCAACTAAAATAGGCAAATAATGATTTATGAGGATATAACACACAATATCAATTATACAACAACAAAGTGAGTTTATCAATTAGCTTTTTCGCACTGTTAACGCCCTTTTTGCTTTTTCGCACCCTTAACGCCATTTTTCGATTAAGTTTAATACATTTTCAGATTAGTACAGCATGACCATGCTTAGTTAGGAAAAAGTACACCATTGCTTGGTGCACTACAAAATTCTTAGGGCTGCCAGACACTAAGTAATTGCCTTAGGGCCTCTATTGGTACACGAGCTAGTTTTAGCTCTGCCTCCAGTGGAGTAAAATAGCCACAAAAAGACAAAATAGGCCTTTTAGCCCAATAATCCAAACCATAATCATTTCATTTTTTTTCTCACAAAAATCAAAAAAACCAAAATGCCTATCCCAAATGAGGCTTTTTAGCCACATGCTAAAATAGCCAAAAAGCCAACCCACATCAAAGTTCTGAATAAATTGAGACAATAGCAAAAAAAAGAAAAACAAACTGAGCAAATATTCCTAAACTGGCTAAAAGCATGCCCCCCAAATTAAAATATTGAGATAAAGAAAAAGTAAAAAATTATCTTATGATTAAGAGGCATTGCTTGGTGCACTACAAAATTCTTAGGGCTGCCACGGTGGTTCAGGGGCTGTTTTGTATTGTCGCTCTCTTAGCGCCCTTTTTTGGTTAAGTTTAACGCGCTCTCAGCTCTAACTCCCAACCTACACGGACTAATTAAATTCCGTATGTTGTCACAGCTCCTATTTATGATGGGGAAGATGACCGTGACATCCATATGGTAGTTCGGGGGCTGTTTCATATTTTCGCCCCTTTAACGCCCTTTTTCGGTTAAGTTCAACGCATTTTTGGCTCAACTCCCAACCTACACGGGCTTATTAAATTCTGTCTGTTGTCACAGCTCGTATTTATGATGGGGAAGGTGACAGTGACATCCATACAGTAGTTCCGTCTGTTGTAAAGTTTTGCAAATCAGAAAGAGCATATATGAGTAAAAGTAGTTCCGAGTACAAAAATATCAAAGGATAGGTTAAGTAGATAAATGATTCCCATCTTTGGTTCGGAAGTTAAATTTTGTTCTTTTGTTCTATTGTTAATATTTACCTAAGTTGAGGGTACGATGGTCATATTGCCATGTTAGGGTTTTGTATATATATTTGACTGATGTAAAGTTGAGGTTAATGCTTATTTCAATATATAAAACTTCTTCTTCTTCTTCCTCCTAAATCTCAACCCTAAATTCCTTCATTTTACATTGAGTTGTCACTGTAATAAAAAAATCGAGTAAAAAATCGAGAAAACCAAAGCCTGTGCACCAAGTTACATGAGTTGACAATCCATCTACATATACGGACAAAATAAGGGCATGCTCACTGTAAGGTAAATCAATGAATTCACATCACCCTAACCTTGTACCCAAGGAATGAATATGAAACAGTGCACCATAATTAAAACACAACACATGGGATAAAAGCATGGAACTACCTACATGTCAATGGAAGTGCCAGTAGTAACAAAAAATAACCTAAGCAGCAAGCCTCTAAATGGCCTTATATCAGCTTCAATCTGTGTTCGGAAATTTGTTTCTGCTAATAATGCCCCAGCCAAAAATGTTCCAAGCTGCACAAAGAAAGAAAGAAACGAAGAAAAAAGGGAAATATTAAGCAATACTTGAGCAGTAAAACAGGAAGCACGAAGAAGCTAAATTGATTTTTTACTGATTACAAAAAAGAGTTCAATTAACTTAATGATAGAAATGTAATTTTTGCATAAGCCATGCTGCAAATTCACAAGGCCAATGCTGGCAAACTCTAACCAACTTATTTAATCGACAGAGCAACCTTGAGATACCTACAACAAAATTACCTGCAGGACAGAGCAACCTTCATGGTTTTGGCATTGTGGACAGTTTTGCTCTCTATCCGACTAAATGTTACTGAAGAAATAAAATCAAACTTCAGCACAGAAATAACTCACTATAAATTCAATCAAACACTTCCATGGGCCACTTAGGAGAGGGAAGTTGAAGTGAAGAGACAGCAATTGAAAAACCACCAAAATGCACAAGCATAACTTTTATGCTACGTCACTAAATGATCAAGATAGGCATTAACAATTCTTTTCATCAGTGAACAGAGATAAACAATAAATTATGAAAGATATTCAAGCAATACCAAACCATGCAGACAAAATACTCCAAAGATGAAAAGGCAGGGATGAATAAGGAACAACAGTAAGCGAGGTCTCAACCAAAAGGACCATGATAGTAATATGTTACAACATTCATCTCAACCTAAAAGCATCACTCTGAGCTACATGGAAGGGAACCATTCAACTAAAGCAAAGGTTGGAATCTCCCAAAGGGTTATTTTTCTAGCATTTAACAATGTCAAAAAGTTACCTACGTCACCAGCTTGCAACTGCATTGACTGTATACAAGGAGTGACCCCCTCTAGAACATACATTCTGCTGTTATTGTTGGGCCAAAATCGGAATTGAAACATCCATTCCTTCCCTTTTGAATCCTGGACTTTGAGAGGCAAACCATCTGGCTGAGAAATTGGCGGAAAGTAAGCCTGTTTCACAGTAAGAATACACAACTATATCAGGAATGTTTAAAAGCTAGAAAATGTTACCATCCGAATTTATTTATCCAGTTTTATTTGAATAAACATTTTTTTTATGTATTTATCAAACGGGCTTAATTGATTTTCACTTAATACATTTAGTAGTGCTAAATTAGGTTATCAAACACTACCCATTAAATTAAGCATGAAAACTCACCTCTGCGCATTTTTTTGGAAGCACTAAGCGCCCTATCCTCCCAGCATCACTGGCACTTAACATCTTCTCAAATAAAGGAGTAATTACAGAATTTGAACTTACCTGTGGTTAAGGTTAATAAGGTGCTAAACTTCTTAATTACAAATTAGAAAAATTTAGGATAACAAGAAACTAGATTGTTTAATTGCACATTAAAATAGCCTTTTCACCAAATAAAAATAAAAATAAACTTTAGCATCTTCTGTGAAAACCAAAAAATTAAACTTCAAAGATTTTGCATACAGGAAATCTGAATTCAGAACAACCTGCTTCTACAACTATAATCTTAAATACCAATATCATTGGGTAAACATATCATAAAATCTTAAACACAGCACCATGTAGAACAATAGGATACTCTCCAGAGATTTGCTGGAGCTCTTGATCAGTTATCCTGGGCCAGTACCGGGGAAGTAACTGATTTCGTGATCGGGCATCACCTCGAGGCCTTCTATTTCGTATCTGAGTTTCCCCAGAGGAGTCGGCTCCATCATGCCCACAGAACTGCTTCCCAATTAGCGGTGGAGGAGTTGGTCGTGGTGCATGAGTGCCAGAAGCCTTTGTTTGATCATTTGCAACATTTGGTGGCACAGAAGATACAGCCAAACTATAGTGTGAACCAGAAGTGTCATTTTTTGAGAAGGTCAATTTCTGAGGAACATTTACACATGGATTAGCTTGCTCACCACAGTTGATTCCTGCAACAAAATGCCCACATCAAGATAACCAACAACTCACGGTGAATATTAGAAAACTTTCCCCTGGATGTAGGAAGAGCATAGCAAGTAATAAACTTTCATTCATTGGATCATATATAGGTAGGAAAAGATCAATACCTGCATTCCCATTTTCAAGTGTTTCGGATGTACCAAGCTTCAGGGTACCATTCATTAATCTTGCAGATGAATCATCTACTTTCTTCTTCTCCAAAGAAGAGGCAGATGGTCGCTCACTGCTAACAAGTCTATCAATGCCACTTGGTATGTGAACTTCAAAAGGCATCCTTGGTTGCAAGTCAGATTGGGCAGCCGAAGAACTGAATACACTGGGTGCTTGCCGCCATGGCACTGGACCTGATCCAGCCATCTGACGCCAAGTTTTGGTAGAGAGGTCTTTAATTCTTTCAGGCATTACAGGAAGGAAGAGAGAAGGTGGAGGCCAGGCAGGATTTGGTGACAGAAACATGCAATAAGATATTGTACTGTAACATGATTTTTTTGTAGACGCAGAGGAGCATAATATTATTATGTGACAGTTGAAGCAGGCTGCTAGATAATCCTTAAGAGAGAAAAGACACTAGACCTGGTCCCACCCCGTGCCCATCCATAATTTGAATCAATCATATGATAAGCTCAGTTTTAGTTGCAGTAACTAACTAGTAAAAGGATATCAAAACAATTCAACCCATAGTAGAGAATCAGCATTAATACATGGAATTTGCCTGGCAAGTTTCACTAATATGGCATTACTGATAACCCAGTGGTCGCAAAAATTAAATAAATAATAATAAATAATCATTAAAAAAATGTAGAAAACTCACCAAAATGAAACTTTTTCTTGCACACGTTATGCAGTCAATTCCTCCAGCATCCAACAGTACAAACATATGGAATGACACGATGCATCCACAATGAATTTGCTGCAGAGAAAAAAAAATAACATTAAAAGATTTGCAATAAATTACCATATGACAAGAAAGAATTAAAATTTTTAAAAAAGTCCTAAGAAGACACAATTCACCTAATCTCATGTCAACTCTACAGAAGAAAGCACGTGAATCAACCAAACTAGCCAGGAAAAATAAAATCTTCACTTACCTTCCCACAAGACTCGCAGCACCTCCAACCAGAAGCATCCAAATGGAAAGTCTCACAGAACTTTCCCTCCTCATAAGCCGAACTAGAGCCATCAAAAACTATAGTCATTACCTCAAAGTAAAAAAAAGAGAGAAATGGATACATGTAAAACACATATAAAATGATCTTTGAAACAACCCAAACTGTTAAGATAACACAGGTATGGAACATTTAATTGAGGGATATGGTAGTTTTGAATTGGATGCAAACTAATATTAGCACCTTCCCCATGGGGAAAGGAAGGAAAAGAAGGTGAAGAGTGATGAATTCTGGTAAATATGAATATCAAATCATTACACATTCGAGAGCAATCATTTTGGTAAATAAAAATATATCATCAAACCACCATACTCAGCCACAATATAATGTGTACTAGATTTGACGTTGATATTAACTGTAAAAGTTTTGAGAATACTTTTCACATATATAATACTGCCAGAGAAAAAAAAAATACACACTCATTAAAAAAGTTGAGAGTATTAAGGACAGTGTAAGCAATATCACTCCCCTATGTTCACCAACACATGTAATTCGCAAGTGGTGTCTGCCACCTGTTCCCATTACAAAGGAGGCAAGAGGATATCATTTGCCAACATCCAGTGCAGTTCTCACTATCATCCTCATTGTCATTAAGTGTTTCGCATAAAAAGTATAAAATGGTTCAAACTGAGGTTTTGTACAATTTATATTTTCTACTACAGACCTAGTTCTCAATCACCATTGGTGGGATTTTGAGCAAGCAACTTTCTTTGTTAAGGGAATTGGTTTCCACAGGAGGGATGCTAACCAGCGTTTGTGGGTTAACCTTCTTCATCTACTGAATTTGGTTCTGTGGAATTATACTGTAGACGTAGAGACTTTGCAGTGGGGGATGAAGCAAGAAGCTATAAAAGACCCCAAAAAAATGAGGTAATCAGTCACCTACAGATATGAAACAAAAGGGCTACAAAGGAAAAAACCAGAGATCAAGGGACCAATATGCAATTGAAATGGGTACATACTAACAATTAGTTATTACTTACTACTTTTTAAACTTAAACCTCCTCACCATCAACTATGAGGTGTGCAAAAAATTCAAAAGTTAATGAGCTTTCTATAGTTAATTTGATTGAGTTTTGTTTTTTTCCAAGTTATGTCACAGGTTTATCTGTTGCCAAATCATGTCGTCAGAATGGTTTGAACTTCTAAAAGCCTCTGGAGAAGATTTTAAAAATTATGTCTAACTTTGCAACTTCATATGCCCATTTTGCTAGTGAACAATGTTAGCCTAGATCAATTATTAAAACCTTGATCAGTCTACAAATGAAGAAGCAGTAGCCAATTATCAGCTATTTTAAGGCCAATTATTAAGACCTTGACACATCCAAAGCTATTTTAAGACCATAAAATTCATACCCAATTATCAGCTCACTGATCCAAGCCAGCAGTAGCAACACATAGTCGGCAGCAACCAGAATGAAGAAGCAGCAAGCAACCAGCAACCAGCAACACAGCAACCAGCTACCCCTTCCTTCAAAACAGTAACAAAAATAGCAGCAGCATCAGCATCTAGAATCTTATAAAATAAGCGACAATTACAATTTATGTGATTGTATCAGTGTTGACCAACTATCAATTGCTAATGTTTTAGTCATTGTCCATGGTTGGTTTAGTGTATTTCTACTGGGCTGTGGCTCACCCTATATGGGAATATCATTTTCAGGTACAGGAAGCATGCCACCTCCAAGGACATAGCTTGGGAGGCTAGAGGCGGACACACTTTTGTCGTTTTACCTTTTTTGATGTGTTACATGTAAATTCAAGCCAAGGGCTTAATGTGTATGAGTTAGTACTCTTTGGTTGTATCCAAGTGTTAACTTGGAAAGCTGTAAGCCCGTAGGGCATTTGCTTTTGTTGTTAACATGTAATACTTTTTGTAATGAAACTCTGATAAATGAAAGAATGTGGAACTTTTGAATATCAATGCATGTCTTATTTAATGGGTTTAATGTTATTTTTTTTTTGAGGGCGTTACACAGTATATCTTGCGCTGCCGCACGTACGACTCCCTCGCTCGCTTCTATAGAAGCTGGCTGCACATCACCAATGGCTGCAGTACAATCATTTGATACCACCTCTGGCACACCTTCACATACGGCACTAAGCTGTGAAGCGCCATCATTCGCTGCATTATTGTCATGGTCTATTGCTTGGCGTCGCCCTCGCCCTCGCCCTCGGCCCCTACTTACACCACGACGGCCGCCACAACCTCTACCCCTACGTGTCCCTCTGGTAGGTGCATGGACCTGGCCCTCCCCCTCCCCGTCAATGTGGAAGTCATGGGTAATGAATGGATCAACATGGTAGGTGAAGGATATATGTGGTGTAGGAGATGATGGTGGGGTGGGAGATGATGGTATGGTCAAAGGGTCGGGTGCGGTCAATGTCGATGCAGAGGGAATCATGGTAGACAGACATGCAGTAGACAGTGGTGCTAAGGGAGTCACCGGGGTACCAACTGCTGTCCTATATGGGGGTGGTGACCAGGAGGGGTCCAATATATGGCCATGGTGTGTGGAAGTATGTTCAGACATTAAAGGATCTACCTCAGGGGCAAACTGGGATGCGTAATTGGTATATTCAGGTGGGGAAGTCTGCGGTGTATGCATTGCTGTAGATGGACCATGAGGGGACAGGACCATGGAAGGTCCCTCACCAAAGTGTTCCATATCGAAATAGTCCGATTGATGTGCATGACGTGCGGTAGGATGCGGTGGAGGCATTGATGTCGATGGCATTGATGTCGATGGCTCAGTGGATGGCATATTCGGGTGCGGCATTGATGGCACTATAATATCTACCCCCATATAAGGATCCTCGCCAAAGTGGCCGAAATCTAGTCGATCACGTCGGTGTGCCTGTTGCAAACCATCGTACAATAACTCCCGTATCTCGGCAATGGCATCCAATTTTTCTCTAGCATCGCGTGTAATATGGGCAACGTCTGCCATGTGATATGCCCTCGCAACTCTACGAACCTGTAATGTAATGGTAGCTGTGTTACATAACCATCAATGCCAAATAACAAACATATACAAACTTAAGCAAATGTTGTTTTGGAGAATATAAATAACTTACTAATCCCTCTAAACTGCCCCCGACGCCTTGGTATCCGAAGGCAGCAATGTCACTCAGATTACTAGGCACTAGACGTGTATGGCGGCGAAACCATAACATGTATGGGTCCGAAGATGTAAGCACTTCATTGCTCCTCTCAGCATGGACAATGGTGTTACGTCTGTTGTTCCACTCACCAATAAATGACTGGTATTCGTTTGCCCAATCAATGCCTATTTTGCCACGCCTATCCCTAAAATGCATAGCCAAGTAGGCGTCAAAGCGATCAGGCACACTCTGAACTCGCCCAAATTGTCTAAGCACCCGGTCGGGAAGATGCCAGTCAATGATATCGAAGCATATAAGTGGCACTTGTGCCATCCATATGTCTCGACCAACGGTACAATACGATGGGAAGCTGGTCATGATGTCATCCTCCGTCCTGTAAGGCTCCCATATGAACTGCAATAGCAATGCAATAATTTAGAGATCTATTCGTACAACGGAGGTTGACAAACAAAAAAATGGGTAAATTCACATTAACAAATTACAAACCTCCCCCTCCACCATGCGGTCGAACTGGTCCCGGAAGATGACACCGACATTAGTCGATATCACCTCATGGCTGAAGGGAACCCTCCACCTGCAAGCTCGCGGGCCAGGTGGTAACAGCTGGTCGCCCTCCCCTATGGGATGCTCGCCAGCAGCAATGTTCGACTTCCGACTAGGGGCGATCCTGCTCAATCTCTCCCACGCCCAAACCTACAATGAATGATGCCATTATTAATTTATTACAGTAGGCAATTTAGAAAACATGGCAATTGAGAATATGAGATAAAACTATAAGTCATTGCAACTCACTTGTAACAATACTAGTGGGCCAGCTATCTCCTTCGTATCAGCCTTAGTTGCCCGACACAACATCCTATACAAACATGCCAATGTGGCACCACCCCAGCTGTACTCCTGGATACGGTCAAAGTCTCTAAGTAGTGGCAAAAACATCATCTTGACTATATTTTGTGACTTATCGGGGACGAGGACCCCCCCAATAAGCCACAAAATATAGGCTCGAGCATAATGATGAACCGTCTCATCGGATGCATCATGTGGAAGGTGACGGAAATGCTCGGATATCCATTTCAACTTAAGTGATGAGCCTATGAAGTCTTCTTGTGTAGGTGCTGCTCCTAACAACTCCACACATAGTGCTATCAAATCATGCAACATATTTGCTGGGTCTTTTCCTGTGACTGCGTGTCCATCAACCGGTAGGCCAAATAGAATAGCCACATCTTGTAATGTAACTGTGGACTCTCCAACAGGAAAATGAAATGTGCGCGTCTCTATTCGCCACCTCTCTACGAGAGTTGTAACGAGATGGTGGTCCAATCGAATAGGTCCAATCCGATACTCCCCGTAGAACCCCGCACGGAGTAGGCAACGTAGGACTCTATGGTCCAAGGCGGTGTCCCATAAGCCTGAATCAGATCGTCGGCATTTCAATTTCGGCTGATCTTTCGCCTGCATAAGACAACGTTGTGTGTAAGAGACATAATGCTTGCACAAATGACAATTGAATTTTCATAATGAACCCATCTTCTATCAACTGAAACAGTGGGTGAGATAACCAACATTTTAGTGGTACATAGTGCGTAAGTGGTGTAAATGTACAAAGATAAATACATACAGACACAGATTTGCAGTGTCATGACATACAAATAAAAGGCTCCATCAAACCTAATATAAGTTCTAGAATGTTTGGTACACCTGTTAACGAAGTTGGGTTGTTTCCTTTACTGTAGACTGCAATGGGGGTTTATGTGGTTTTTAGTTAAATTAGAAGGGCGTAAAATATAACTAAGCCGTCATTTCATCATTGACATAAGAATTGAATAAGTTGGGGATCAAATGAATACAATGAAATATTACAGACTAATATAACATATAATGAATATATTTTGAAGTGTTTAAAGTCCTTTATTTTGAAATGAAAAATGTCGCTCGAACTATATTAATGCAAGTTGTTGTAGTATGAAATAAGTTAAAAGTAATTTAAGTAGACGAACAAGCTAAAATAGTAACTTTGTCAATAATTGAAATTGTTTGTGTTCTTATTTTATATAATTTTTAGGACAGTGAAAATATAAAGTAAGAAATCGCTGGCAAGTAGAATATTATGTTATTCGGAATTGGCAAAACGCTTCACAGATGAATCAACAAATGAGAAATCATAACATATTAAATGAATTATTTATTATTTCTTAAATTTTAAACAAAAGTGAATCAACATATTTTTCTCCTAGAGTACTACATAATTAGCCAGTTAGTAAGGATAATTATTGAGTCATCCAAGAGTATCATGTGGTGTTATTTATTTCATATTCCCAACTACTTACGTGATGACAATTTTGACAAGAAATAATGTTGACTCACTCTATTAACTAGGTAGAAGAGAAGGAATGAACAACTGGTCCTTCGTTTGCCATGGCAAAAAGACAAAATAGGCAAAAAAGCCAATAACACAAAATGTTACATCTAAACAATATTCATTTCATTTTATCTTTTACAAAAGCCAAAAAGCCTATCCCAAGTGAGGCTTTTTAGACCCAGGCTAAAATAGCCAAAAAGTTAAAAAGCCAAAGAGTCAACCCACATCCCAAATGAACCCGTTCATGTGTTTATTTGGTACAGTTTATTGTAAGTTAAAGGTCAGCAATAAAAAAGACGCCGAAAGCATTATTTTGCTAACATTATGGTAATTAACTTTTTCAACTTATTTAAAAATAAAAGTTGCAACAACAGGGCAATACGCAACTCTGAAATTATAGTTAAAAAAAAAACTACAAACAATTCATGTAAATTATTCTGAAAATCGTCTCATAAAAATTGAAAAAGTCAATGTGGGTTAATAGTGTGAAAACAGTTCGTACCAAGAATTCCAACAACCAGCGGGTGGTTCCCGCTGTTACAACACTTAACTATTTTTGAAAGGGCAAACTCCACCTAGATTTTAAATTTTTTTTTGAAATTTATCAAATGAAATAATGTTGTTCAAGTAAGGAAGTAGACAGATCTACTTTTCCACACTCCGATGGTACTATGAGTCGCTGAAATTGGATTATTTAAAAAAAATTTTAGTAGGTAATGGGTGATGAACTAGGACTTCTGATTTGATGATTATATAATATTATTTTGTGCTATAAGATTATGAATTCAACCTCTATAAAAAAGAATTTTGTTTGTGATAGTTATTTATTCTTTTATTTTAGGAATTTTATTTACAAGTCCTTTATATTAAAAGTCCTTTGTGATGATTATATAACCAATTTTGATGAGTTTTTTTTTTTGGGTTAAGCTAGCGGTCCATTTAATATAATCTTCTTCGTTCTCTCTCTATGGACAAACATTTACAGTTTCACATTATATTATGTAACAACTACAGTGTTTGTGTAGTATTCAAATATCGATTATAAGTAAATAATTCATACCGACTGATGCCATATCGTATCAGCTCGATGCTGATGAGTCAATAATGGGATCTCCTCTGCGAAATGAGTCATAGACCTGCACAAGTTTTCATATATGAAATGGATATCCGATAACAAGAAGTTTGACAACAGTACATACATATGCTGACAAAATTAGAATACGACCTGACAGTATATCGCAGGTATACAAACTGCAACAAGTTAGGGAAAACAAAAAGAAAGGGTTGCCTGGAAAAATTTCTTGATAACTAAAAAACAGTTCACCACCTAACAAAATATGGCTACGCAATGAATATTACATGCATTTATATTGTTGCTTAGTAATTCATTTCACATTATTGTCATAGGAGATAAGGTACACATGGTACCCGTGAGTTTAAAGATATTGTCAGTGCGTTGTCACGTCAAGCTTTATGACATGAAAACCCATGCTTTAAGTAGATTTCAAATCCACTACTTACACTTTTTACAACAACTAAGCATTTACCAATATGTACTAAATTTAAGACACATGATTGAATTGATAAAATGGTCTTCCCTCACGTAATGGATAAAATGGTCTTCCCTCACGTAATGAATTTTTGAAAACTAAAAAAAAAAATTCACGACGTAACAAAATGTGGCAACGCATTAAATATCGCATGCATTTATAATGGTGATTAGTAATTCATTTCACATTATTGTCATAGGAGATAAGGTTCACATGGTACCTATGTGATTAAAGTTATTGTCAGTGTGTTGTCACGTCAACCTGTAAGACATGAAAAAACGTGCTTTCACTTTAAAGGAGTTGTCATTTGGACAGGAAAGAAGTACGAAAGTTTGAAGAGGGTTTTATGTAGGTTTGAAATACATTAGTCAAAGTTTTTACAAGAACTAAGCATATACGAATACGTAGTAAATGTCCGAGAAATGATTGAATTCATAAAATAGGCCTTCACCCACGTAATGGATGTTGGAAAAAAAAATTAGTTTCCCACATAACAAAATGTGGCAAAACACACATTCAATATAAACTGCATTTATATTGGTGATTATCAAGTCATTCTGTGAATATTTGCATTTTTGTAACATTAGATAAACTGGTGTCCATCGAGGTCAGGACACAATCGACCATCAACGCACCAAAGTCTGCACAATCCAGTGCACAAAGGACACTTGCAACAACTAAAGCAATTAAAGAGATTTGCCACATTTGACCAAATCTATGTCATTAGTAATTGAAGTCGTAAATACATTATCAATTTGCTGAATACTGACTCCAATTCAAAGAAAGTAGCGTGGAACTAATATGTAAAGAAGACAAACAACTACTGTCGAATCGATCGGATTCTCGCTGGACATTCTCTCTTATCATGCCCTCTTTGCAAACACAAACTACAATGGTGCAATCCACTTTGTCTGGAAGTATCCATTTCGTTGTGTATGCGGCTATGTTGAGGACGACCCGTTTTAACTTCACGTTGTCGAGCTGGAATAGCAAGCAAAGTTGGGTAATCATTGTCAGGCCAATATTGCTCGTGCGGCATGGGCCTAAACTTCTGCGCGAAGATACGCTTGTGGACTTCCAACCTATACTCTGGTGCAACGAAAGGAAAAGGGTCCTCGCCCAAGTCTGCTGTCACAGCAAGCATGTGGGAACATGGCAAGTGAAATAATGTGTACTTCCCACATGAACAACTCGGTGGTCGGAGACTAACTATTTGACGAGCACCACCCCCCATCCCATGCGGTGCTGTCCTCACCTCATATTCCCCTATTCCCCTGCAGGAAAAATGTATGTACGTGGATGAATATGCATATATGATAAAATTATGACACAACATCAATGATCTACGAGTGCAAAATGTTAAAGTGTAGTGAATTCGATGCATCCAATAAAAATTACCTATTAATCGGTACCAACATATGCACATTTGCTTTAGCTTGGTGCTCGTCAATCCATCGTTGAACATTAGTCGTGTACAAGTGACCCCGATTACTTGCATTTTCAGCAATGGTCCTGCCCTCGTCAAAATATTTCACGAGCCGATAAAAAGTGATCTCAACTGATGCTGTAATGGGAACACTGCGTGCGCCTTTCAATACACCATTGAAGCCCTCTATATGGTTTGTCGTCAATATGCCCCAACGACAACCACCATCATGGCACAATGTCCAATGAATAGGGTTCATCCGTCTAAACCACCGTTCAGCATTCTTCTTGAGCTTGTAGATATCGTCCATAATCTTATTAAACTTCCGCACTTGCCGTGTAGAACCAGCTCTCCACACAAGATCCTTGGCTACTGTATTGCCGAATTTTTTCATTGAAATTGCGCATACGTGTCGCAAGCAAACCTATGGTACCCTCTTGGTTGAACGCTGGATTGTCCCAAATTCTGGACAGGACACTAAGCAAAGCTGTGTGTCGATCGGATATCAATGTGAACCCCTCTCGGTCACGCACACATGTCGCCTAAGAGAGTAATGAACCAACCCAACTCCGATCATCTCCTTGTCAACAACGGCAAAGGCAAGAGAGTATAATCTT